GGGGAATATTTTAAATATGAAGGAGTTCAAATGATTAAGTGACAAACATGAAGGGATCTAGGTATAATTTATCAATTTAATTTTAGGTGCACATTGATACAAATTTCTATCTTTGAGGGTACAAAATTGAAATTTTTCATCTTTGGGGATGCACATTGATACAAATTTATATCTTTGAGGGTACAAATTAAAATTTTTGATCTTTAGGGGTACAAATTGAGATTTAAATAATCTTTTAAAGTACAAAATGAGATTAACCCTATTCTCTTCATACGAAAAGATCGGATCCGCCGGCGATAATACAATTATTGTGAAGAATAAGAGCACAATTCCGAAAGACAACGGAAGGTGGAGAAAGGAGGAGATTGAGAAGATGCAATTTTGAGCAATCCTCTTATTGCTGATTTATAGCGAGGTGGTGGTGAATATGTGCCCATGGACGGTGGTGCCAACATGCCGGGATGTAGATGTGGCAAGGCTACATTTGGTGGTGTCAAACCTAGGATTGAGGATGTGGATTAAAGCTTATAGAGGGTCTTTAGGTGGTTTGGTTTTTGGGCTCCCCCGGGGGGGGGGGGGGGGGGGGAGTCTTGTGGAATAAGCTCAATTGTGTGAAATTTTGTTTTTTTAACCAATTCAACCCTTTAAAATACCTCAATTTAAGTTTTTCTACTACACAATTTGAACTCAATCCAACCCCTAAAATCACTATAATTTAAGGCCCTATTTAGTTTGCGTTTCAAAAAACATCCAAAAATTATTTTTGAGAAGAATTTTAAAAAACTATTTTTGATGTTTTTGTGTCATAGAACTTTTTTGCTTATATGATTTCAAAAACAATTCTACGGGATAGAAAATAATAAAACTTGTTTGAACAGTAACTTAAAAATCAATGAAAACAAAAATTTGGTGGTAGTGATAGTGTGACGGTGGTGGTGTTGGTGGAAGTGTGGTGGTAGAAGTGTGGTGGTGATGGTGGTGGTGGTGGTGGTAGTGGTTGAAGTGTTGTAGTGTTGGAGTTGGTGTAAGTGTGGTGGTGGTGATGATAGTGATGGAAGTGTGCTGGTGGAAGAGTGGTGGTGGATGTGGTGGAAGAATGGTGGTGGTAATGGTGATGGTGTTTTCTAAATTCTGAAAATATTATTTCCCAAAACACAAAAAATATTTCTAACTTTTTCTTTAAATCTATCCAGTTTTTGTTCTCTATTTAAAAAAAAATAACAAAAAACAACTGACCAAATAATTTTTCTCCTAGAAACTGTTTTCAAAAAACAAAAAATAGTTTTTGACATGCAAATCAAATAGAGCCTAAAATTTTCCTCACTTTAATTGAATCGCGTTATATGATCCATTTTTACCATTTGTGACAAATAGGGGATCTCAGTCAGCCTACCTAACTCGGCAGTATCTAAACAACCCCAAGTTAAGAACAAAGCCTAGAGTTTTGGGCTAATCTCGCTCATTCATAGCACACTCTACAATGGTTAAGTCCATCTCTCACCTATAAAATGGTATCAACCACGGGATGCAATATATGATCGCTAAAGCCCACTCATTCTCTTCTATCTCAGTTTCCTATTCTCAATTCATATTCCCCTCTCCCGAGCGTCGACCGCCCTCCTCTCTTCTTCATTTCTTCCTCCTACGTACCTGTTTTTTTACAAGTTTTGAGGAGTCTCTGGACTAAATTTTGCCATTCCTATTAAAAAAATGGGTTAATCTCATTTTATACCATGAAAGATCGTTCGAATCTCAATTTACACCCTCAAAGAGTAAAAATCTCAATTTGTACCCTCAAAGATAGAAATTTGTATCAATGTGTACCCCTAAAGATCAAAAATCTCAATTTGCACCCTCAAATACAGAAATTTATATCAATGTGCACCCCAAAGATAAAAAATTTCAATTTACACCCTCAAAGATAGAAATTTGTATTATTATGCACTTAAAACTAAATTAATAAATTATACCTAAATCTTCTCATGTTTGTCACTTAATCATTTGGACCTCTTTACATTTAGAATATTACTCCTACATCTCATGACATTTATGCACGTACAACATGTAACTCATTTTCATTGATATCTGTTAATATAACAGTTAAAAAATATAATTTTATCCTAATAAAAAATTATAATTTCATATTACTCTTATTTTATGGATCCAATATACTCTAAAATTCAAAATCAAGCTTACCATTTGAATGTCTAATAAAATGTAGATATTTATATAATGTTTTTCATTTTTTCCTTTATATAAATATTTACATTCTATTAGACATTCAAATGGTAAGCTTGATTTTGAACTTTAGAGTATATCGAATCCACAAAAATAAAGGGTAATATAAAATTATAATTTTTATTAGGATAAAATCAAATTTTTTAATGATTATATTAATAGATATCAACGAAAAGTGGTTATGTTTAAACATGTAAAAACGTCATGAGATGTAGGGGTAATATTTTAAATGTGAAGGGGTTCAAATGATTAAGTGACAAACACGAGGGGATCTAGGTATAATTTATCAATTTAATTTTAGGTGCACATTGATACAGATTTATATCTATGAGGGTGCAAATTGAGATTTTTTATCTTTGAGGGTGTACATTGATACAAATTTCTATATTTGAGGGTGCAAATTGAGATTTTTGATCTTTTGGGGTACAAATTAAGATTCGAACGATTTATCGGAGTACAAAATGAGATTAACCCTAAAAAAAATCATATCCTCCCCATGTCAGCTACCATACAGAGAATTTGCTAAAACATGTTATTAAGTCGTACCACGAGATCAGCATATCTACCAAATGCCTTTGTGCCTGATGCTTCTGCAAATATTTGAACAATTAGCTGGCCAAAGATCAAAAGTAGGCATCCCATTCTCTTAAATTAAAGCCACTGTTGTGCAAGCAGTATTTGGTTATTTAAATGTTGAGCTTGGCCATAACTTATTTAAGCTTTATTCTTCAATCTAGCACCTAACTTTATGGTGAATTTAGTCTTTCAAACAGTCACATAGGAAAAAAAATTAAGTAAAATGTGTCACCTTGTTTCTTTTCAGCTTTTGGGAGCAGCAAAGGGAAATAGATTCCTGCGTGGTCGGAAAGGAAATGGGAAAAGAAGTAAAAAGAAGCGATTCAGACAGCCAATTTGAGTACAGTGCCAACCATCCCATATCCATGTGAATCACATATATCTGGAAAGAGACGAACCTACTTTTTATTTTTATTTTTTTGTACTATGACTTTTGGTTCAATGTTTCTTCATATCTTACGAAGATTTTGTCTTTTTTAAATTAAGAGTTCATGTCTTCTTCCACCTCTCCAAAAAAAAAAAAAAAAAAAAAAAAAAAATCTTTCTGCTGTGACAAATACAAATTTTCTACTAATTTTGGAGAATTAAAGGTATGAAAGTTTACCTCAATATATAGAGAGATTGTTAAATGTGACATGTACATGAAATAAAGTTGCATACATCTAATTTTTTTAGAGAGTACCACAATAGTGGAAGACTCTCGAATCGAGCGAGGAGAATGCTATACTTCCAGCCCAATTTAAACTCATTGCCTATTTTCTTACCTATAACTAACAGGTAACAATCATGTCATGTCAGACGTGTTCGTATAGTGTCATTTTTGGGTTCTTGTCAAGCTAGTTAATCATATTTTGACCCATTTAATTAATCGTGTCATGTGGACCTAACTTATTAATTTTTGTGATGAATTCATGTTGACCCATATAACCCGATGAAAAAAAAAATTTAATGCAAAGATTTAAGTTTAAGATTTCATTATCACTTAATCAAACTTATACTAATACTTTTTCTATAAACTAAAAAATAACTTATAGATATAATAATAAAAATAAGTAAATACATCTTTTTTTTGTACAAGAATTATGTAAATATTTGATAAAAAAAATAACAAAAAATTATTATTTTAATCCTACAATACTAGTTAAACGTGTTAATCGTGTTCATTTCATATTATTTGTGTTTGACAATAACCTAACCTATTGATTATTCATTTTAACATATCATTTTATTTATGCGTTTGTATTAAAAAATGATTACCCTAAACTTGTTAATTTCTTATAAATTTCGAATCGTATTTTCGTATCGTATCAAAAATTGTCACCCTTACCTATAAACACAAAACAAGTTAGGCCAATTGATACCTAAAGGTTTTGACACCATTATTATCATGGTCCTACTTTTTTCATTAAAAATCTCAATTTGCATCTTCAAATATAGAAATTTGTATCCTCAAATATAGAAATTTGCATCAATACGCATCTCAAATTAACAGTCGTCAATTTGCCGTCTAAAACTAAATGGATAAATTATACTTTAATCCCCTCATATTTGTCACTTAATCATTTGGACCCCCTCACATTTAGAATATTACACCTACACCTTTTGATATTTGTGCACGTGTAACACATAACTCCTTATCGTTGATATCTGTTAATATAACCGTTATAGAATATGATTTCATCCTAATAAAAAATTATAATTTTATATTATTTATTTTGTGGGTTCATTATACTCTAAAATTCAAATTTAATCTTACCATTTGAATGCTCAATATAATACAAGTAGTTATATAACATTCTTTATATCAAATGCAATACATCACTTAAACATAATTATTTGGATGCTCAATTGGGTGAACATTTTTAGTCATACTTGAATTCTAAAGGGTTTAGGTGATTAAATGACAAGTATGAGAGGGTTTAAGCATAATTTATCCATTTAATTTTAGACGGCAAATTGACGGCTTTTAACTTTAGGTATGCATTGATACAGATTTATATCTTTTAGGGTATAAATTAAAATTTTTATCTTTAAAAATACAAATTAATATTCGAACAATCTTTTATAATACAATTTGAGATTTAAGCTTTTTCTTTCCCAATTTTATATATAACACCAGCCTACCCATCAAGAGAGGTCGTCCCTATCCTACAATCTACAACCCATTCCCCACTCCCCTGGAACCCCACCCACCCACCCCCCCAAAAAAAAATAACTCAGTACAGTCAGTACCCTACACAGGGAAAATGAAAACAACTGTTCTTGCATGGCTATTCATCATCTTATGTGCTCAAGTTCTGTCAAGCCTGGCTATTGAGGATTTTGTGACATTCAGGCAAGATGTTAATGGTAAGAATTCTCTCTCTGTATCCATATTTATGCAGGAAAAGTCCAACAATCAAAATATTGATTTTTATTAGACGAAACAAGTCGAAATAAATCAGTGATGAGACATCGAAGTATCAATGTTACAAAATATTTCAGTATTTCCGAATGTTTTGAAGAAAACGGGGTCATTTCTCCGATTTCAATGAGGAAATGGTGGTGGGAATGTTTTCAATCATTTCCACACGTTTCAAAATTTTCTTTGTTTGTATATGTTGGAAACCTTTCATTTCTGAGCGGCCCAAAACTATACATCAGAACATAATTTTGATCCTTTGAAAAATCTCAAATCAGTCGTGTTACAGAAATCATTTTGCCCTTGTTAAAACCGATGCAGAGGTAAAAGGCAGAAGCAACTTGGAAGGAGATGGTAATGACAGAGATCAGAAAGAGGCAAAGCATGAAATTGTCTATTCAACGAAGGTAGCAAGAGCTAGGGGATCTAATGGTGGTGCAAATATAGTTCACCAACCACGTCCTAATCAAAGAAGTGATGTATCTATTCCAAACAGCCCCACTTTCTTCATGTCAATAGCTACTGTCTGTTTAAGCTTTGGTTTAGTTCTTGTTATTCACTTCTGATTTCCTCAAGCCAAAACTGGTATCTATCAATTTGGAAGCTTGAATAGGAAAGATTGTTTTTATCTATTCAAATGCCAATAAACTTCCTTTTTCCTTGTGGGAATTCCTGTTGGTGCTAGTTCTACTTGTCCAATGGCGTCTGTAATGCAATGTCTTCTGTATTTCTGCAATAATTGCTGTTATTGATTGCTCTTTCTCTCTCTCTCTCCCCCCCCCCCCCCCCCCCCAAAACAACAAGCACACACACAAACATACACAAAAAGCCTTTGTTCGATTTTTCAGATATCAATTGGTCAAGCTTCACTCGTAAAAAATCATGTGAGTAAAAGATGATAGCCCGAATATTACAAGTATGTCAAATAGAAGATGATTAAATTAGGTGCTTCGGCTCGTTGTACAAATACCTCCGAAGCAATGAGCTAAGGACCCAGCTCTCAAAGCTCAGTTCCCTAACAGATGCACTCTTCTTTGAATTGCTTAGTCATTCTTGAATATTTTCACTTACATAAGCATTTGAGTGTCTCTCGCCGGTTCCATCTGTCTGTGGTAGTGTTTTCGTTTTGCACACCAAATCACAGATTATTCCCCGTACAAGTTTCATATTCTCTTCACCTGAGTAACAATCTGGCTCCCCTTTTTCTTGATTTCTTTCTCCTATCTTTTTTACTAGTTTTGAGGAGATGGACCAAATTTCTGCGTAAGTATTAAAGAAAATCACATGATCCCATGTCAGCAATACCTGAAATATAGTTAGGTCTATCCCATAATCGGCATATACATATCTATATATACTATGTGACTGATGTTTCAGTTTCTACATATTTTGAACAACTAGATGTTCCTCAGGAACATAATTTAAAACTAACTCCAGTTATGGTGATTAGCTCAAAGTTCGAAAAAGTAGTCAATATAAGTCTAGACATTTCTTGCCAAAAAAAAAATAAATTAGCTGACCAAAAGATCAAAAGTAGGCATCTCATTCTCTTCAAAATTTTTGTTCTGCAACCACTAACAGGTTGTTCAAATGTTGAGCTAGGCCCTAACTTATTGCACAATTGTGCCGGCCGGAAAAAAAATGGTAACATAAAAAAATTACAAATTTTAAAGGTCAAGTTATACATTTTAAAGAGAAAGTTACAACTCAATTAGTTGTAATTTGATCTTTAAAAATTATAACTTAAATGATTGATTATTACATTATAAGATCGATCATGTCTATTGCATTTACAATTTATATGCTAAAAAATTATAACTGAACTTTAAAATGTCGTAATTTTTGGTATGTACTAACTTTGGGGTGGATCAGGTCTTTTCTAGTCATATAGGTGTCACCTTGTTTCTTTTCAGCTTTTGAGAGCTGCAAAGGGAAATAGACGGTTTCATGCTCCGAAAGAGAATGGGAAAAGAACCAAAGAGAACCGTCTCAGGCAGTGACTTTTGAGTATAATGCCAACCAACCAAAGAGAATGGGAAAAGCACCAAAGAGAAGAACCTACTTTTTATTTTCTGTGGCAAAGAGGAGCCTACTAGTACTACAACATGAAGGGGTGTCACTTTCCGAAAACGACATGGGTACGCAAACCCGAAAATCATAATATCTTAGAATTCAACTTAGCCCGATTATTAGGTAAAGGTGTTGACACCATTAAGATCTTGGAGCTTTCTTTTTCTTTGCTTTTCTTCTTCCTTTTGTTCCCAATACCAGTGAATATCCATATAATACTCCATGGTGAAACTGTTGTTCCCACCCAGATAACACCACCAACAACCATTTAATATTCTAGCAAAAGCAAACCCATTGCGTATCCCACTAAGATCACACCAACAAAAAATAAATAAATCAAAACCACCGACTGCTCCTCTTGGCCATGTCTCTCTCATCTAGTCTTCAATTTCTTTTTTCCAACATTCATTCCCTTGTTACCATAAAGCTTTATTCCACCAATTATAGGACTTGGAAAACACAGTTTCACCATGTCTTGCGTGCTCATGGGTTCTTGACTTATGTTAATGGAACGCTGTCGTGTCCAGCTGCTACGCTCCCTGTCGAATCTGGCGAAAAAACTCCTAACCCCAAATTTCTTGAATGGACTCAGGTGGATCAAAATCTCGTTAGCGTCATTAATGCTACTCTCGATCCCAATATTCTTCCCTATGTCCTCGGCTGCACCAGTTCTACTGATATCTTTTCTTCTCTTGAGTGAAGGCTTAATTCACCCTCTAGGTCTCATATTATGCAGCTAAAAACAGAACTCCAAAATTTCAAGAAGGGAACATTGCATATGAAGGACTATCTTGGAAAAAATTCAAACACTTGTTGATGATCTTGCCGCTGCCTCTGCTCCGGTTCATGAAGAAGATGTTATTCTCCTCACCTTAAATGGTCTTCCATGTGAATATAGTGTTGTGAAGGCATCCATTTCTTACACGCCCGTCCCCTATTTCCATGAATGATATGTTTAGTCTTCTTTCTAGTGAGGTAATCAATCTTTCTATTGAATCCTCTGTTACGCCAAATGAGGTCACTACTGCCTTCAAGCTAATAAAAATAGCTTCCTTGATTTCCCCAAATGTTCTTTTACTGGTGCTCGTGGTCCTTCTCGTGGTGGTCCTTCTCAGAATTTTTCTCGTGGAATATTCTGGGGGAGTTCGTGGCCGTGGTCAACGTCAACGTCAACGCGCATATTCTGGGGGAGCTCGGCAATCTCAACCCTCCTTTCGCCCAACTTACCAGATATGTGGGCATGCAAATCACACCGCTGCCCGATGTTGGTTTCGTTTGGACCTCTCCTATCAAGGTCCTGCCACCTCTCAACCACAGGTCTTTGTTGCCTTTCATCCTACTCCTCACTCTGGAGCTTCCAATCATATTACCTCGGATTTGTTCAACCTTTCTATGCATACTCCATATCTAGGCAGTGACATCGTCACCGGATTTGTTCAACCTTTCTATGCACACTCCATATCTAGGCAGTGACATCGTCACCGTCGACAATGGTTCTTCTATGCCCATCCAAAACATTGGCAACGGTTTACTCCCTACTCCTACAACCAATTTTGTTCTCAAGAATGTGCTTCATACTCCCCAAATTTCATCTAATCTTTTGTCTGTTCATAAATTTGCTCATGATAATAATTGTGTTCATTCTTTTGACTCGACTGACTTTGTTGTTCAGGACAAAATCACCCAGAAAATTTTGCTTAAGGGGTATAGTAAGCATGGTCTCTATCTACTGCGCCCGATTAATTCTTCATCATCCTCTCTATATGCTTTGCATTCTTCTTGGCCTTTGCAAACCATGTGGCATAATTGACTTGGTCATCCTTCAGTCTCCATTTCACGTTTGTTACTTTCTCGTAATAATATTTCTAGTTCTGATAGTAGTTCTTTTTACTATGAACATTGTAATGTTGGGAAAAGTCATAAATTATCGTTTCGAGATTATTTTCTTCGGTACAAGCTCCTTTGAATTTAGTACATGCCGATGTTTGGGGGACATAATCTATAGGTGGTTTTCACTATTATGTAATTTTTATTAATTATTTTTCTCGTTTTTGTTGGTTATATCCCATGCATTGAAAATCGGAAGTGTATCATATGTAAAACCCGGTAAATTTAAATTTTTTACAAAAAAGGTAAAACGGTAATTTACTGCTATTATACGGGTTAAAAACTTGAATTTTTCTAAATCTCGGATGACAAAACGGACTTTACCGTTGGATTCGTTTCGTGAAATCTAGTTACCCTATCAAATTTTATCGAATTTCGAGATAGTCGAATTTTTTACGTTTTACGAGGCAGTCTAATCTCGGTTGACCCAAAAACGAGATTTTTAATAAAATTTCAAAAGTTAGAATATTATTTAAGGTAAGTTAAAAATAAAAATATTTGGAACTTAAAACAAGAAGAAATTTAATCGTTTCGGGGCGAAAATAGACTTAAAAAAATAGGGTCGTGTGGCGCATTGTGGGTCAAGCATTGAGAAATATAAAGAGGGAAAAAATCTGAATTTCTCCCACACACACACACTCAGTCGTTGCCGATAGAGAAGTGAGGGAAAAGATAAAGCTCATTCACCTTCTCTCTACAATCTACGGTGATCGAGTGCTCAGATTCACTCGGGCCAAGAAGGAAAGTCGGTCTCCTCGTCGAGGGCTACACCTACGTACCAAAAATGAGGATTTTCACCGAAGGATTGAATGACGAGATTTTGGAGGAGCTTGGTTTAGAGCTTGGGTCAAATTCTTGAAGCTTCTTGAAATTGATTTTCACGCTTTCAAAGGTAAGGTTCCTTCCTACTCGGGTTTATTTTACAACCTAAGGTGTTTTATGTAATGGGTAGGTTAGTAGAGATTTATATCACTTGCCTATGGATTGGAATTGATTGATTTGGTGAATTGGGTATAGCAAATTGACCTAATTTAAATCAAATTCCTAGCTTGAAATTGGTATGTGGTAATTACTTGTGTAATTCCATGAAACTTGATATTATGTGGGCATGCTATGTGCTTAAATTATGCCTTTTGAATTATTATTGGAAATGAGATGCTGGTATATGTTCATTGATATATTGATAGTGTGATAAAATTGGAGATAAATTGCATGATATATGTATACATGTGGTTAAAGTTGCTCATATGGCATTCATTACATGTGGGCATGACATTGAGATAGCAATGGTGCATTAAATTACATATGCATCAAGACATCGCATTTTATGGGTGTGGGTACATGGTTAACATCAAACACCACATAGGTCGATGATGGGTGGGCTCAGGAAAGTTGAATTGAATATTCTGCTGAGTCGTATGGTTGTATGAAAAAGAATTGGGTCGGGGTTAGCAAAAAGGGCTAGACTATCCCTCGGGTGAGAGGCTCGATGTTTGGATGCGCACTTCCGTTGGTATAAGAGCCCATAAAGTGTGTCGGTGTACGCGGAACCGTTAGTGAAAGTCCATGAATTCCGTGTCAGTTGGGTGACCGTTGGTGTAAGTCCATAAATACCCACCCCAAGAAAGATCCAGAGGTTTTAAATAGTCATTGGGTGTGTAACACCAATGGTGGGGGCGTAGAAAGCCCGATTTTGACACTTATGGCATAGTATGAGGGAAGATAAATGGCCGGAGCTAGAACTGCTCGGTCTCATACACACAGGTTTTGCATATG